ATATATATATATATATATATATATATATATATTAATTCATAGATCATATTAATGTGATTATATTAATTATAAGTGTGTGTATTTTTTTTGCTAATTATTAATTTTATTAAATATAAAAATTATGATGAGTGATTACACTAATTATAAGTATTTCTTTAAAAGATATTTAACACAATCGCATTATTATAATAATTTTAAACTTAAAAGTAGCCGTTAAACTATAAAAACCTTTAAGTTAACGGATACACTTTTGGATGATCCAGATGCATGCATAGGTTATGATAGATGTGGGGAAGTATGAATATTCTTGTAGTTCATGTTGGACCTCAAGTGTTAGCCCTTTCTTAATAGTATTAGTCGGTGTCCTTGTTGCAGGTGTCGACGAATGCAGAAATTTTAGACAATGAGAGCAATACTTACTCATATATTTATAGTATTAAAAATTTTATATATAATTTTTAAAAGTATAAATATATATCATAATTATTTTTACAATTTTTTATATTTACAATTATGATTAAGGATGGAAATAAATCGGGTAAGACTAGATTATATTATAATTTAATAGATTTGAACTTAACTTTTTTTAAAATTACATGTCTTTAATATGACTTATTTATCTGTCATAAATATTTTTTAAATGTTTGGTTAGAACTACAATCTTAAAGACCTACTTTATAATAAGTTAACACTAATAAAATCATAAAAATAAATATGTTAAATTTTATTAAAAAAAACAAGTTTAATTTATTTATGATATAAAATGGTTTTAATATCTGATATAAATTTTTAGACGATAATTTATTTTAAAATATATTTTATAATACAAATTCAAAATAGAATATAAATCTTCCAACCTTTCCTATTTTGATTTTTTTAATCAACATATACAATCTTACAATCTTTACTATTTTAATATTTTTAATCAACGTATACAATAAATAGAAAGTATAAAAGGTAAACATGCATAGTGCAAATTTTATTTTATCAAAAATTAATTTTTTTTAACATATTACTTTATATAAGTGAACATTAATATATATATATATATATATATATATATTATATAATTAAACTTTTTTTTAAAAACTAATTCATTATTAATGGGTATTCTTTATCACATATGAGAACTAATTAATCTCCTTCAAAAATTTAAAAAATATTAAATAAATGAACACTTTCTTCAAATTTATATTTTATACATATGATAATTTAAATATATATATATATATATATATTATTAAAATATAAATTTTATTTTTTAAAATATATTATTTTTTAGATAAAAAAAATATATGCAAAAAATAGTAGTGGGGCAAGTGCCCCCACTATCTCCGATCCGTCCTTCCCTACATCTATTCGTTTTATCTACTCCACTAGATCTGTTCCTTCTCACCTTTTTCCACTCGCATTACAAGTTTCATAAAATAAAAATTATAACTTTCTTGTGTAAGGCACTAAATCATGTAACAATTGCGATTTAATAATATTTCTGGACATCTCAAATATTAACCTATCTTTCTTTTGTTAACTTGGATTTTTTCAATAACCTATGTTTTTTTTTTTTGGCACATAAGTAAAATTCATATTCAATATGAAGAGAAAGTGTAAAATCACGTTTAAAAATCTAATCCATACATTAACTAAATATTAACCTAGATTACAAAGAAATTATTTTGCCCTGTTAAGAGAAAAATCACAATAAAGAGGGGACAGTACGCGTTTTCCGCCGAAAGTATGCCCACTTAACTGGAGACACGAGATCGGGAAAGCTCCTGTGGGGTTCTGTTCTGTCCTATCCGATGTATAATCTTTTCTTTTTCAAAACCACAACGCACAACCACAATAAACCATTCATCTTTTTTACTAAGACACGCTTCTTACTTAATTATAGATACACCTATATGGCTATATCAGTAAAACAATTTTGACCTTTCCGATAATTTTATGTGTAGCCATTGTTTATCCCATAATTCCCACTGTCACTATTTAAAAAAAAAAACATAAAACTAATTGAAGTATCAAGAAAGCTTAGCAAAAAAAAATTATCAAGAAATTTTTGGAGAAGATAAAAGGAAACTATTTTAAGTGAATTTTTATTTTATCCATAGAATACATTCTACTTCTATATTATATAATTATTTATTTTTATTACTCATATTATTATTATTTTATTGTGAAAAGTAATTATTATTTTTATATATAAATTTTTAAGAGTTAATCACTTATATATTATCAGTGTAAAAAAATTTACACTGACAATCAATCATATCTTTTAATAATGACATGTCAATTACTCCCTCTGTTTTTTTTTTATAGTCGTTTAAGGTTTTGCACGGGACTTAAAGAAATCATTGATATTTTAGTTTTCAAAAATATTTATTACTTACTTTTCTATTTTACCCTCTATTTTTTTTTTTTTGCATGTTTTAGACTGTTGAACTACTCCATTAAATAGTTGTCCCTTTTTTTGTTTTTTATGGAGTAGTATTTTGTTGAAAATATATTACTCTTATAAATGCACATTAACTTTATGTGAGTAGTTAGAGAAAAATTAGGTAGACATTAAAAATAAATACATACATTGTTCAAGAAATATGTATTAATTATTAAGGGTAAAAAATGAAAGAAAAAAATTAATAACTCATTGATTTTAGTAATATGACAATGAAAAAAAAAAAAACAAACTCTGACAAAACGACTATGAAAAAAAAAATACAAGAAATACTTATTTAATAAAATAATAATAAAATAAATAATTTTAAAAGATATGATTGGTTGTGAATGTAAAAAATTTTACACCGAAAATGTATGAATGATTAATACATAATTACCTTTTTTTCATGAAGACATCACCCTATATTCCAATCTCCAAAGCGCGTCGGTGGCATTTTTATGTTTAAAAAAGAAGGAAAGTTTCTGGACTCGTCTAACGGGCCCCAAACGGAAACATGGCACGAGGACTGCATACCAGATACGTGGAATCAATAATATTTATAGCTATAATACTATATATGTAAATAATATATATATATATATATATAATTTAATGAATAATTATCATCTCATGTATGCACTGATAATGTTATTGTATTTTTTTTGTGATATGATTTTTTAAGTTATCTAATAAGAGAGAAATTAATATAAATGAAAGGAGAAGAAAAAATAAATCATTTCTCTTAATTTCCTCC